TAGGCGAGAGAATTTAATAATGACGGATGAGAGCGGAGCGCTTTCACTTCCTAACAAAAACAAGATTCTACCTGTTCGGCTCTGAATAGAGCCAGCCTCCTCAAAAGAAACCTTTCATTCATTCATAATACACAAAAGTTGTTTGTGTATTACATTGCCGCTAATAGATTATTTTTAGGTGGATGAAATATAAATTTTGCCCGCATCAGAAAAAAAAACCCATTTTTCTTCCGTTTTCCATGTCCGGTCCGGTATCTGAAGGGGATGATTTGTGCCAGCGCACACGCCTTTCGCTAGTTTTATATAAACACTCATTATTCATGCCATCGGGTGTATATGCGTATCGGGTTTTAGGTTTTATGCAACAGAAAAATAATATACGTCAACTGAATGCATTATATAATGCCTTTTGGACTCTGTAACGCCCCCGCTACTTTTCAAAGGTTGATGAAACCTGCAAAATGTGTCAGTGTACCAAAGAAGACCCTGTATATTTCCAATAAACGTTTGAATTAAACCCAAAATTGTTGGCCTTTTTGGAATATTTAATCTATTGACCGCGTATGAAAGAATGTCCAATAAAGCAAGCAATTTTATTAAAAAATTTTATAAAGAATTTAGCTTTTATATACCAAAGAATCACAATAAATTGTTCCATGGCCACCTAAACCAAGCGCATTCAACTGACGTAATAATTGTTCCATGGCCACCTAAGCCAATAATCCAATGTCATAATTCTTCAATAGATAGTCTGTCATAAATCTACGTTAAATTAAACAGCCGATTTATTTCTTTTGATGAATTTACGTAAACCAATTGAACGATAAAGACAATATAATTAAAAAGTTCCCATGATGCCGCACTCTAGAGAAAACGGCCGTGCCGCTGCTGCTGGGAATGGAATGCGGGCAACAAACACAAAGACCTTGAGGCAATAAAACCCCGAGACAAATATTCTCTTCTTCTGCTATTGGGTTCTCTTTGGGTACCTTTTTAGGGTCCTCCCAGCGACGATGACGCATCTTTAAGGAATTTCATAGATACGAGTGAAACACCTTCATCAACACCGATTAAAGATATATTTTTATCTTTGATACTGTGAAAATATGATCAGGGATGGTTCCTGAGGTCAATCACTGTTCTAGATCATCAGTACAGTAGAAAACCTACTATAGACATATTATTCATGGCCACCTATGACAAAATGTCACGAATCAACTTGGAAAAAAATTACGTCCACTGAATGCAAGTGACAGCATTTTTCAGATGTTACATCCATGGCCACCTATGGTGAAATTTGTTGCCCTACTATTATACAAAGGCGTTGCACGTAGGTACTTTGGGTACCAATTTTTTTGTCAATTTTTGTTGAAGTCTTCTTTTTTTTCAATTTTTGTCTATTCCCGGCTCTTGAATAAAGTGAATTCGAAAACCTGGGATAAAAAAATCACGGTGTGTGTGCTTGTTGAACCCACTGTTGAGTGGATGAGTGAAAACTTCAACGTACAAACGTCACAGATGCTTGACAATTGCCGTCATATTGAATCCTGACATTTGTCGTTCGGATTAATGTTGTTTAAAAGCCTGATAATTTTTTTGGCGTCAAATTTATGCCTAAACACAATGCAAATTTCCATATAAATCACCCTATGACGTCATCTGTTTGCCTTTGGGTCGGTTTATAAAATGAAGACAGTTTCCACCTATTTTCTGGTCAAAATACGAGCCTGAAGGGTCAGAGTTTCCATAATTACCAGCCCGAAGGGCTGGAGTTTTCATAATTACGAGCCCGAAGGGCCGGAGTTTTTATAATTACACTCCACAGCATTGATGTTATCGATCGCACCCCCAATATAATTTTCAATTAAGGTTTCATTTTGTAATTTTTCGCTGAAAAAACTTGAAATTTTAATGCGATGAGCTTCTAGTTGTCGGATAGTTTTCCAGAAAAAAAAATGAAAATGTAAAGAAACTATGTTATCGAACGCACCCCTCCAATTGAAGTTTAATTTTCCAGAAAAATTACGAGCCCGAAGGGCCGGGGTTTTTATAGTTACCAACCCGCAGAGCTAAGCTTATAGGGAATTCTATTGGTAGAACCAGTGCAGAAAAAATGTATTTTTATCTCTTTCCTATACAAGCTGCTAGAAAAAGACACGAATATACTCAGTGCGCACTTACCCTTCCAATAGAATTCGCTATTAATGATAATTAAAAAAAGTGTCGCCCTATGGGCTCGTAACTAAATAAAATAAAAAAAATAAAAATAAAAACTCCGGCCCTTCGGGCTCGTACCTGTTCTGGAAAACTGTCCAAAGGAAAATTATGAAATTTTCTGGAAAAAAAAAAGTCAGTGGCTCACGATACTAAAATTTCAAGTTTTTCCAATAGGAAAAAAAAAGATGACAAAAAAAACGAACACGGCGCAAGTTTCTTAAAATTAATAGGTTGTCTGGTAATGTAATGTGAGTAGCTTACTCTAAAGTAAGCTATTCCAGAATACTCTAGAATACGCTACTCCAGAGTACTTTGGAGTAAGCTACTCTGGAGTAAGCTACTCCAGAGTACTCTAGAGTAAGCTACTCCAGAGTACTCTAGAGTAAGCTACTCCAGAGTACTCTAGAGTAAACTTCTCCAGAGTACTCTAGAGTAAACTACTCCAGAGTACTCTAGAGTAAACTACTCCTAAGTACTCTAAAGTAAGCTACTCCAGAGTACTCTAGAGTAAGCTACTCCAGAGTACTCTAGAGTAAACTACTCTAGAGTACTCTAGAGTAAGCTACTCCAGAGTACTTTAGAGTAAGCTACTCCAGAGTACTCTAGAGTAAGCTACTCCAGAGTACTCTAAAGGAAGCTACTCCAGAGTACCATAGAGAAAGCTACTCCAGAGTACCATAGAGAAAGCTACTCCAGAGTACTCTAGAGTAAACTACTCCAGAGTACTCTAGAGTAAACTACTCCAGAGTACTCTGGAGTAAACTATTTAGAGTACTCTAGAGTAAGCTACTCCAGAGTACTCTAAAGTAAGCTACTCCAGAGTACTCTAGAGTAAGTTACTCCAGTTTTTTTCTCCATTTTTTTCGTTTTTCCAATAATGTAAATTTTCTATTTTTTTTTTCTCCCCTTTTTTAAGTTAAGTAAGTTACTCCAGAGTACTCTAAAGTAAGCTTCTCTAGAGTACTCTAGGGTGAGCTACTCCAGAGTACTCTAAAGTAAGCTTCTTTGGAGTAATAAGAAATAAAGAACAAAAGAAACAAGAAAAAGAGAAATGAAACTACTACCAGGTAAAGAGGGAGAGAGATAGAATCGATTTTTGTCTATTCCCGGCTCTTCAATTACGGAATCCGAGACCGGTTCAAATTGAATTACGAACAGTCAGTGTACTCTAGTACAGTTCAGATCAGTTTATTTCGATTTCGGAACAGTCGGAACTCTAAAAATCAATTCTAAAATGATCTGGAACTGGTTCCAAATGAATTATTAATGCGATCCAGGACACTTCAGAAATGATCTGAATGAACTATTCTAACGAAGATGCATTTAGTTACTCTAAAGAGTAAAAGGAATAGACTCCAAAAGCTTCAGATCACGTGGTAAAACCTTTGGAGTGAGTTCTTTTCGCTCTATTCCATATAAAAACGCTAAAAAAAAAATAATCGAACAAATGGAGTGAATCCGGAATACTCTCAATTAAATTCTTATTTTAGTCTTTTATACTTTACTAATTGTTGTAAGTAGAGTAAAATTATTTGCACCTGCAAATGTGTTTTAGTTACTCTAATTACTCTATTTACACTAAAAAGCCATTTTCGAACAATTAGAGTAGTTACCTTATTGGTTCGGGTACAATTTTGTAAAAAACGACGTAAAAGGAGTAGATTCTAAAAGTGCCAATTCTCAGATTAATTTCAACTTTTTTTGTAACTTTTCACTCTAAAATTGTTCCGGTGTAAAATTTATTTACTCCATTCTGTATAAACGAACATACACCTAATTACTTTATTGAGCCATATTCGAACAGTCAGAGAGTGCTATGGCATACGAATTAAAACTGGAGTAACTACGGAGTACTTAGAGTACCTAAAATTGCACTTTTTTAAACTATTCTATAATCCACTGATTCACATATTGTATTCGTAGTAAGTGGAGTTACATTATTTACACTCGGATAACAAGAAAATAATAAAAGGAGTAAAACGGAATACCCTGGATGGCCTAAGTCGTTCGAAATTGTATTCTTTTTGACTTTTTTATACTTTATCAATCGTTTTCGGAGTAAATGCAATAAGATTATTTCCACTCGAGAAACAAAAAAAGAGTAAGAAGAGTAATTCAAAAAGTTTCAGAGTGGGTTCTTATTGCTCTACTCCAAGAAAAATAAATAAAATTGAACAATTAAAGTGAATTCGGAGTACTCTGGAAGGCCCTCAATTAAACTATTTGACTCTTTTATACTCCACTTTTTTCGTTTTTCCAATTTTCTAATTTTTTTTTTTTCATTTTCTCCACTTTTTCGTTTTTTCAATTTTCTCAATTTTCAATTTTTTTTTTTCTCAACTTTTTTCGGTTTTTCAATTTTGTCAATTTTCATTTTTTTTTTTTTCTCCACTTTCTTCGTTTTTCCAATTTTCTCAATTTTCAATTTTTTTTTTTAATTTTTTTTAATTTTTTTTTTTCAATTTTTTCATTTTCATTTTTTTTTTTCTCCACTTTTTTCGTTTTTCCAATTTTGTCAATTTTCAATTTTTTTTTTTTTTTTTTTTTTCGTTTTTCCAATTTTGTCAATTTTCAATTTTTTTTTTTTTTCTCCACTTTTTCAAGAGTTCAAGAGCCTGGGACAGAAAAAACCTGAATGTCCTCTTTTTTTCTCAAAAAAGGTACGCCTATGGATTGTATGGTTTGACTCCGCCCCTTGTTTATTGAAAGGGATCTGAATGGGCGGAGCCTCGTCAACCACTCCAATTAAATTTAAATTACATCGACAATTCCGTTTGTTCCAGGTCAAAATGAGCTGCAAAATCCCCGAATTCTCGCCCCGAATCGAATCGCTGACGTCAGAGAGCAGCACTCTCGCCACAGCAATAGCGAAATCCCGTCAACCCAGCTCAAAGTCATTTCCGCACTTTCCTGATGCCCACATGTCATCTTTTTTATCCACCATTACGAAAACTAAAGGATTTTACGGTGATCTTGCTGACAATTTATGTGGTGACGAATCATTTGCTGAACAAAAGGACAAAAAGTGCTGGAATGGCGAACGAGTTGCTGACTACTCAAAAACTGTTGTCGCTGTACAATTGGATGCCCAAAAATACAATCCTGAAGTAAAATCCAGTCCCAACTTGCAACAAGTGGACACCAGAGTTGCTACTCTAGTGGACAAACTTAGACAAGTACATAAGGTAACTAAAATGTCAATAATACATTGTGGCGCCATCTAACAATACAATTTTTTTAAAGGTTGCCATCAGCTCACTTGGTCCAAACTATTCGGAAAGTGACTATATGCAACGAGACGGAGTAGATGGATCCGGCTCTGGAAACGGGCCAGATTTTGAAGGAGATGACGATGAGTTTTCGCGCGGATCCGGTTCTGGAAACGGACCAACGGAAACTGATGGTGAGTTGTGTTTACTCATGATTCAATATGGCCGTTCATATGTCAAACCTAATGTAAACAGTACGGTGTTTGACCTGAACGGCCATATTGAATTTTGTTTGCCTAATTATACGTCTACTGAATGCAAGTTGCAAATGACATTTGACAGATAACAACCATGACTTTTTTTTTCAAATTTATTACAGAAGAACCGTCAGTGTACAAAGTCGACAAAACCGAAGTCCGAGTGACGCAATCGAACACGCCCACAGTCTACCAGGCGTCGCGAAGTTGTCAACTAGCTCCCTCTACAATTTTGACGTTAATTGTTTTGACAGTTATGAGAATTTAAGACTTATGTACAGAAAGTATCGTTTGTTAAAGCTTGATTCTAGCTATAAAAACTTGTTTTTTGGGATGAATGTTTACCTGATGTTGTGGCAATACAATGTTGCCACACTTGTTTCATTTTTTGAAGGCAATAAAAGAAACATATCAGTGTGTGTATGTGTGTATGAGTGAGATGTAGATATTTTTACATTTTTTTAAATTATTTTTGAGAATATTGTCTGTGATTAAATCAATGTTTATTGTTTAAATAATTGATAATTAGGCATTAGCTGACGTCACACATAATAAAAATGTCATGTGTGTGACGTCAGCTAGTGCCCAATTGAATAAAGTCTTCTAAATTATATTTAAATTGTTAATATTATATTATTTATATTATATAACAGATCCAATATGGTGGTTAATAACTGGCGACGTTGCCAAATCAAGGCAAACAAAGAAAACGTAGATTTTTTTTTTTTTTTTTTCAAAATACATAGACTATTGTATTTTTGTGATAATTTTTTGCCATATATATATTTTTGAAGTGACAACATTTTTTCGATAATACACTGTTGCCAAATTATTCAAATTGTCACTTTAATATTTGTGTATAAATAATTTTAAGGTTTCGTTGCACTTTTTCTGTTGCAGGGTTGCCACATCTTGCAACAGAAAAAGTGTAATGCTTTTTTTTAGGTTAAAAACATTTTATCTTTACTGTGTAAATTCATATACTTACAGCCTTATTTTGGTTTAATTATTTAAACCAAAAAATTTCACATAACCCTACTTTTTTTGTATAATAAATAAATAAATAAATAATTAATGTTAACTTATTATTATAAATAAATAAATAGAATTATCTTAGTTATTATATCTATAAATAAATGTCAATGATGTATACAAACTTTGTAGATATATTTTGGTGTAATTTTGCGACCCAGTCGGATTACATATAGACGTGGCAACACTGTTGCCACAAATTAAAGCAATAATTTTATTGTTGTTGAAACTGTCTCTATTTTTGGGCATTACACTGTTGCAAAATTTCTTTTTTCATACACTGTAAATGTCTGTAATATCTACTTAATGACGCTTTATTATTAATACATTATTTTTACGCTTTATTTTATACTGCAGTGTAATTTTTCTTGTAGAAATAAAAAAAATAAATCTTTTTCTAACAAAAATAGAGTTTTTTATTCAAGGAAATCGGTTCAGGGACGTCAAACTTGATGATGACGTGTCGAATTGGCAACACTGTCTTCATACAAAATATTGCAGTTTACGAGATTTCGATAAAATTATATTATTTAATCAAAATTGGTAGCATCTATGGTGACGTCATCATTTAAATTACGATATTACTTGCTCTAAACACGTAAGATAAAAATTGAGTGTTTGCAGATTTCTTTATTAAATTGGAAATTTTGCTTTGCGTGTTGTTTGATAGATGTCGCTACGTGAATAATTTTCCATAATTTAAGATTTCTGTAATAAGAATACATCATTATCTCCCTCAAGGATATTACTTGGAAACCTTGCTCTAGACAAATGAAATAAACATTGAGTTTTTGCAGATTTCTGTATATAAATTGGAACTTTTGTTTTGCGTGTCGTTTGATAGATATCGCTACGTGAATAATTTTTCATAATTCAAGATTTCTGTAATAAGAACACATCACCTATTTCTGTTTAGTATATAGAAAACAATAAAGATGAATATATCAAGACAAAAAGAAAACATCACATAGTAGCGTTTTCGAACACCAGAGTTGCATTTCGAAATAGCACTCTGGATGTGAGTGTGACCCTAGAGTAACTCTAAATCGTTCATAAATTAACGGGTGCTCACTCGGAGCGTTACGCTAAAATCATTTAGAAATGGAGAGTTGACGTGCTCAGAGTGCGCCCAAATTACCCTACTCACCGTGCGTTCGTTATTTTGGTCTGAGTTCTCCGAGCTTGACTTTACCGTTCGTTTATTTAAAAAGTGTACTCGGTGCAGCCTCATTCGCGTTCGTTTATTAAAATTTCCGGTACTTTTATACGGCGTTCAACTGCTCCGTTCGCTCGCTGGTCACGTGATTACGGCTCCGCTCAGCTCGCTCTACACTTTGAGCAAAATATCAAACGCAAGGTCAGAGACTGGGTTGAAAAAGGTCCCGGGGTGCGTTCAAGGACGGCAATTTTAATGCCAAAATTTACTTTTCTCCCTCCATCGGTAATGCCGAACCACGTAGGTTGGAGCCGAACTCGAACGCAAAATGTCAATTTTGGCTTGGCTGTAGCCATTGAACGCAGCCCCAGTTTTTACCAGGTTTGACGATGACATTTAGCGCAATACCCCAATTAAGCCTAGTACTCATAACTGCGAAATTCGCATTTTTTTGACATTGCTTCGACAATTTGACTTTTGATACACGCATAAAACGTCAAATTGTCAACGCAATGTCAAAAAACTGCGAATTTCGCAGTTATGAGTACTAGGCTTTACGTTCAGAAAAGGTGCACCCAGAGTGCACTCCAAGTGATGACATCAGAACCAGAACACTCAGACAAACAATTACTTTACCTTCACACTCTATTTCTAATCGCACTCCTGCACCCTGCACTAGTGCATAATTTATAGTTCTACTCTTGCTGTACTCTATTTTACAGTGTATTTTCCTATACAAAAGGTCGGCTTATTTGAGTATCAGCTTGGTGTGCAGATCAAATTCCGAATCGATTCGAAACAGATTTTATGAGCCAATTCAGAACGGTTCTCTATTATTTTTTGTGCGCAATCAGTTTTGCGCAAGCCCAGAGCTGTTCCAAATTTCGAACCAAAACAAAAGGCGTATTTTAGCGACAGGTAAACATCATACTACACATACTACGATTCATGACGTCATAGTTACCCAAATAACAGCTGGAATGTATTCGACAAAGGGTCTAAAAGAGGACGCTATGATTGTCGTTTATTTGGGTTTGTTGAATTTTATAAAATTTTGCGTTTTCGAGTTGCAATATTATTTCTTCAGTGAAGATTTTCGAATATTTTCGATAGATGTGGTATTTTTGAATTTTATGGGGACCCCATGACAAAAAAATAAATAAAATTACATTTTTGTGCACAAGTGAAGATTTTTTTTTTTGCAAAAAACCTCTAATAAAATCACAGAAAACCATGGAAAAATGGGGAAAAACAATCCTCTATTTATAATAGAAAGATCCTGTGTCGGTAATCGTAGTCAGCTGTTTTGCCCAATATGCTCATTTTAGTCATTTTCGTGTATTAGAAAAAGATGCACTGACATACTACAACCAGTAACTATCCTTCGTAGGATGGTTACATGTTTACAGCCGAGTTTTATGTTGTGTTTTATGTTGTGACGTCATAGTATGTCAGCAATGATCGCTAAAATGTAGTATCCCAAGTAAATACAACATACTACTGGGTTAAAACTCTCGCTAAAATACGCCTAAGGTTTATAGATGTTCCGTTGTGGAGCCAACTGCACTGGAGTGGAAAGTGCAGAACCGATTTTGCTATCAAATTCATAAAAATGTATGGAAAGATAAACAATGACCGGTGTGTTTTTGTCGCACCTAGTTCTGTTAAGAACCGAGTGCTGTCGGAACGAAAAGTGTAGCACTGATTTTGTATTCGAATTCATATGCATTATAAAACAAATATTGCACCAGTTTATTTATAGTTTTCAGTCAGAACAGAATTATTTCGGTTTTTCAGTTCTAAATTAGTTCAGAACTAGTATTATAACATATCATCACAAACTTGGAGCACGCCGATGCCACCTGGAATATATTTATTTCAATGTTCAGGAAACTAAATGCACTCGGAGCAAGAAGTGCAGCATCGATTTCTCGATAAAATGGCAAAACCTGCACTGAAACGGTTGTCAGAAATATCATACCAGTTGTGGCTTATGGAATTCGCTATAATTTGGTTCTTGAATTCCTCGATTTCGTCAACTACTCCAAAGCTGTTTTCTCGCGGTGGAACTGGTTCAATTATGTTCAAACCTGTACATTCTTATGTTGAACCAGTGACGTCACATTGAACCTAATCAAAAAAGTTCAAACCAGACTCATGGCTTGTTTTTCGTTGATATAACCTTCCATTTTTTCGCGTTCACAAGTGATGACGTCATCTACAAATTGATCTAAGCCGTAGTTCGAACAATTCGCCCTGCGAGAAAACACCTCAAGTGAACTGGAACCATAAGAATACACTCCTTTTACTCTATTCTTACTCGAACGCAAATAATTCTATAACTTTACATTCACTAGTTATATGCCTTTTACACCTATGAACAGTTCCGGGGCGTTACGCGCATGTTGCTGTTGATCGTATCGTAATAATTAAGCACTCAAAAAACAAAGCGTTGGAAAATGCGCATTTCTGCACTCGGCTAGGCTACACCAAGGATATTACACATTACACACTAAAGCCTAGTACTCATAACTGCGAAATTCGCATTTTTTTGACATTGCGTTGAAAATTTGACGTTTTATGCGTGTATCAAACGTCAAATTGTCGAAGCAATGTCAAAAAAATCCGAAATCCGCAGTTATGAGTACTAGGCTTAATACAGGATTGCTTATTTGCCTGGATTTTTGGAATCAAGTTCATATGGTGTTGCACCGTTGTCTACGTCATAAACAGTATGGTTTGCAATTTGCGCCAGCGATTGTAGTTGAAAATATATACTTATGATGAAAATTATTACTTAATTTTGATTAACATAATAGGCAAGGTGAAGATGCAAACGAGATCAAGATATGTCCAGCAGTTGAAAACTAACTGCACTCGGAGTAAAGAGAGTAACATACATTTTCTAATGAAATGCAAAAACCTGCACTGAAACAGTTGTTAGAGATATCGTACTAAAGTTCTGGTCCCAAAGCACTCTCCGCCTAGGCAGTGACGTCATAGATCCCTGCGAGAATGCTTCAAGACCGATTATAATCCAAATTAGAGCACACCAAAGCATTAAAATCGAGACGCTCTATATCAACCAACAATGGAAATTGAGCATGTCTTAAGCGAATGGTTCTTAAACCGGTAGAATAAATTATTTTGGAACCGATTCGCCGGAACCGTACAGAAAAAACTGTAATCATTGGAATTTAGTGATCTAGAAACGTAATAGAACAGTTCTGGAGCTAATTGCTCAAGTTGAACACATGAATCTCGCCGAGAGCAGTTTGAGAACCCTCCTTTATCCAAATCCGAACAGGTTTAGTCGGAACTGGCACTCCGAGCAAAAAATGCAGCATTATTTATTTACTGATACGGGTTTTCAAGTATTGCACTGGTGCCGAACCAGTTCTGGTCAGCTAATAAAATTTTCCCAATATTTGGTTCTAGTAATCCTCCATTTCTTAACTGTATTAAGTGAACTGGAGCTATTAGGTTGCACTCTTTTTACTCTATTTTTGATGTTACGAACGCCAATAAAACTAAGTTCACGATCATTCACATGTCAATAGCTTTGTTTTGAGCTAGTCTCCGGCATGCAAGTGTAATGCTCGGAGCTACTTTGTTTTGATTTTACTCAGAACTAGTTCGGAATCATTCTATACATGCGCATGTTATAAACAGCAATTTTGTTTTTTCAGAATCTACTCGGAGCAAACAGTGCAGCATTAGTTCCCGATAAAATGCACTGAAACGGTTCTCGAGTATTACACTGGTTTCACACCAGGTTCTGGTCAGCCAATTTTGCTCCGGAAGTCCGTTTCGTTAACTACACTGAGTGAACTGGAACCATTTAGAACAAACTCTTTTTACTCCATTATTGCAAATAATAGCTAACTTCACGAACATTGACTTAGTGTCAGAAAAGTCAAATTCGCCTTGTCATATTTTTGTTTATCATCCATCCCTTGCAACTTTCTTTAAATCTTCAAGGGGCTTTTTTTGTTGAATTAAAAATGCCCAGCCAAGAAGTGAGTACCACCAAAGTGGTGGTCCACCCTTTGGTACTACTAAGCGTGGTCGACCATTTCAATCGTATGGGCAAAATCGGCAACTCCAAAAGAGTAGTAGGGGTTTTGTTGGGTTGTTGGCGGGCCAAAGGAGTTTTAGATGTTTCCAACAGTTTTGCAGGTAATTTTGCACCACAATCTTAAACCCATTAACTTAAAAACATCAATTATTTCAGTCCCATTTGATGAAGACGACAAAGACAAATCTGTTTGGTTTTTGGACCACGACTACTTGGAAAACATGTATGGGATGTTTAAAAAAGTCAACGCCAGAGAACGTGTTGTGGGTTGGTACCACACTGGACCCAAATTGAACCAAAACGACATTGCTATTAACGAATTGGTAAGGCGGTACTGTCCAAATTCTGTATTGGTAATCATTGATGCGGAACCAAAAGATTTGGGCTTACCAACTGAAGCTTACCAAGCAGTAGAAGAAGTTCATGATGATGGTTCACCTACTTCTAGAACTTTTGAGCATGTGCCAAGTGAAATTGGAGCAGAAGAAGCTGAAGAAGTAGGGGTGGAGCATTTACTAAGAGACATTAAAGATACAACTGTTGGTACTTTGTCTCAGAGAATTACCAATCAGTTATTGGGCCTCAAAGGCCTTCACTCGCAACTGAGAGAAATCAGAGACTATTTGATACAAGTCAGCGAATCAAAATTGCCCATTAATCATCAGATAATCTATCAGTTACAAGACATTTTCAACTTATTACCCGATATCAATCAATTGGAATTCAATAAGTCGTTTTATGTGAGAAACAATGATCAAATGTTGGTTGTTTACTTGTCTACTCTTGTCCGGTCCATTGTGGCTTTGCACAATTTGATCAACAATAAATTGACCAACAAAGATGCCGAAGAAGGCAAAAAGGAAGAGAAAAAAGATAAAGATGCCAAGGAGAAGGAAAAGGAAAAAGATAAAGACAAAGACAGCAAGAAGGATGAAAAGAAAAAATAATTTAATTATTTGTATTTTTAATTAATAAAAAAAAAATGTTCTTGATTTATTATAATAATAATTGTCTATTAACTAAAACACTAAAAACCACCCCCCACATAAGGGTTTTTTGTCTGTCAACCCCTGAAGTACCATTGTACATGGCAAAGTACCAATCAGGCTGCAACAAAGTCTTGGGTTCGCGATTGTGCGCCTGCGGCAACAGCGCCTCAAAGGGGGCGCTGGTCGACTGCAAATTTGGCAACGCCACCTTCGTAATGGTCGCCATTTTTTTTTGTTGAGGTGCCAAAAGTGTAGGCGAACTGTCAAGTTTCAATATGGTGCTTGTTTCAATTGGCAACACCACTGTTGTTGTTTTAGTTGGCAACGTTGTTGTTGCGCTAGTAGTTGGCAACACCGCTGTTTGTGTTGTTGGTTTTTGTGTAGTAGTAATGTTATTTTTAATGGTGCTAGTTTTTAAAGGTGGCGCTGTTGTCGGTTTTTCACTGGTGCTGGACACTGATGGTATATTATTGGATTCAACCACAAAAGAGTCATTTTTTTTTTGTAGAAATTGCAAATTCTGATGGGTAAGTGTAGGATTGGGTATTGGCTTGAATCCACCTGAAACGCCTGGCAACAATGGAACAAAACCGCCTAAAAAAATTAAAATTTAACAATAACCGTTATTATTGACAGTTTTTATTATACCTGTTTCAATTTTTGGTAAATCTGGCAGCAATGGCTTTGGAATATTGACAATGGCAACTCTGTCGGCCATTTGTTGCGACGATGCCGCGTCCACTTTGTCCTCTTTGCGCGCATTGACAGCGTTGCCAAGTAGGGCACCCAAATTTGACAAGGGGACACCGAAAAAGGTAAAACCGCTACTGCTAGGAGAATTGGTAACTTTTTCCAATGGTTTATTTTTGATATTTGGCAATGCATACAATGTATCTCCTAAAAAAAATTAAATACTGTAGGAATTTAAAAATTTGAATTTCGCGCTCATTTTGAAATTTGACAAATGATGACGTAAATGTTAGGTTAGTTAGCGAAGAAGAGGTGCAATATCCTTGTTCCTATGTCAAGCTGCAAACAACACGTTACGTTACTTTAGAAACATGTGCAAAAGTTAAGTGAAGATTTAATTAATAAAGAAAATACAACAACTATTCAGTTCATTGGGAAATGTCATCTTGTCACTTTTTTCGAAGAAAACATAGACAAAATGACACCTCTCAAATTTTTTGACAGGTCCAAAAAATTTCAATTTTTTTTTTACATATATATCACATAACTCATTCGAGAATTTAGAAGAAATTTTTTTTGACAGGTGTCAAATGTCAAAATCGATTTTGATAGATTAAGTGCCGGTACTTTTGCTCTGATTTGACAGCCGTTAAAAATAATCAGGGGTTAGAATGTGTTCTAACCACATCAGACTTATAGATCTTGACCCATGCAAAACTTTGACAACGTATCAAATTCGTTAATCGAGAGCAAAAGTACCGGCCCTAAGACGTCAACTTTCGAATGCACTTTTTCTCGAATTTTTCTGACATTTCCATGTCACTTTTTTCGAAGAAAACATAAATAAAATGACACCTGTCAAATGTTTTGATAGGTCCAAAAAATTTTAAACATTTTTTTACATAGATACCGCATAAATTATTCAACAAATTAAAAGAAAAAAAATTGACAGGTGTCAAATGTCAAAACCGATTTTGACAGATTAGAACGATAGCTGTCGAACGCACTTAATCTCGAATTTTTCTGACATTTCCTTGTCACTTTTTTCGAAGAAAACATAGAGAAAATGACACTTGTCAAATTTTTTGATAGGTCCAAAAAACTTTAAACATTTTTTTACCTAGATACGGCATAAATTATACGAGAAATTGAAAGAGAAAAATTTGACAGGTGTCAAATGTCAAAATTGATTTTGACAGATTAGAACGTTAGCTGTCGAACGCACTTTATCTCGAATTTTTCTGACAATTCCTTATCACTTTTGTCGAAGAAAACATAAATAAAATAACACCTGTCAAATTTTTTGACAGGTGAAATAGAATTAAATATTGAGGTCATTAGACCCATCCCTACAATACAAGAATTTTATAAATATTGTTGCCAGTTTTACCTGTTGTTATTGGTACTTTCAATGTACTGGTTTCATTAAAAGGATAATCCACGTATTCGTCGTAAAAATATTCAGAATCTTCAGGCGCTGGTGCCAAACTGTTCCGATTTTCCGATCCATTAATGGATTTTAAATTCATCCATTGGGAAAGCACCTAAAACTCATTAATATTGATTTGGCAACGTTGCCATATCCAAATACCTGCGAGGTTCCATAGACACCGGGTGCCGATAAAAGTTCAGATTCGCAACCAGGTGCCACCAGCTCAACGTTTCGCTCCTCTTCGGGACAATCTCTGCGCAGCAGTTCCAAATCGCGCAGCAAATAACCGTCCGCGCATCTCGGACCAATGGTAGCGCTTTCTTGTAGCCACACTTGGAGCCAGAGCATGTTACACGAGCACGCCAATGGATTACCTAAAAGCGAATGTTGACATTTGATATTGAATTTGACATTTGTACCTTCGATATCCAAGATGGCGATGTTATTTCGGATACGTTCGATAGCGCGTTCGGGAAACGACATCATTTTGTTGTTTTTCAGGCTCAGAACGCGCAATCTCGGCATGTTATTGAACGGGGAACCTTGCACGCCGCAAATTTGATTGTCGTCCATTCTCAATTCCACCTGCAAGGAATTTTGTAGCAATTTGGCAACGTGGCATTGTAATTCACTCACCAGCCACTCCATTTTGTCCAAACCGGCGCCGGCGACTGTTTTTATCGAATTACGACTGACGTCCAATAGTTCTAAGGATTTGGCGCCTTTTAAACCCGCTTCGTCTAATGAGTTTAGATGGTTGCGGCTCAGGTTTAGCATGAGTAAATGTGGCACTGCCGCAAATGCATTTGAACTGACGGATTTTAGTTGGTTCTCTTGTAGTTCAACGGCTTGCAAGGAGGGGAGATTGACAAAAACCATATTTGGAATTTCCTGCAAATACTCTACATACTGCAACTCGTTTTGGATATGTGGCAACATCACAATTGCTGTCATTTGTTATTAGACAAATGCAACCCTGCGTTTTTATTCTGATCAAATTTTACGGATGGATTCACCATTCTATAGCTGTCATTGTCATTTTCCATTTACTAAACAAAGATAGCTAACTCATCGGTGAAGTCACTGATGAGAATTAAAACAAGGGGGAACCACCGATTCCAAAATTAAATAGATTATCAATCGCAAGGATAATACACACATACAAAGATTACTTATCGGTCTCGTTTTTGGTAATCGCCGCTATATTGGTGTGTCACCATTTCCGACGTCATAACTAAGTCGTCAATTGTTTAAACAGCCTACCTTAAGGCGAGAAATAACATGCTGCTTGCGTCACAACTGGTAATTTGGTAGCGAGGGAAGAGGGGGATTTGTTGCACACAGGCTTTATGAGATTAGATCATCCTCATTCCTGTAGTAGTAGTGTGTATCATCCTTGCATCAAAATGGCGTTTTTTTTCAATAACGAGCCCGAAGGGCGAGAGTGTTTTCAATCTTAAGCCCACAGGGTAACAAAAAAACGCCATTTTGTATCGACTGTCAAGGAAAACAAGGCCAACTTTGGAACGTTAAGTTTTTGACATTTGTTGTGTTGAAAGCAGTGTTGCCATATTATGTTTTTTCAAATCTCGAGACCGGAGGGCTGAGGTTATTTAAGTTGTTCCAAACAAGCCTTATGAGGATAGGTTATCCTATAGCAATAGTGTGTATCATCCTTGGGCGTAGATAAAGTTTAAGGACGATACACACTTACAGGATTGCTTATCGGCCTCGTTTTGGACTACTACAGGATGACCTATCCTCATAAGGCCTGTGTATAACAAATCCCTCCTTTCCCTCTACACCAAAATACCAGTTGTGACGTAGCAACATGCCTTTCTCGTTTTGACCTAGGCTGTAAACAGCTGAGGACTTAGTTATGACGTCAGAAATGGTATCAAATATAGCGGCAATTACCAAAAACGAGGCCTATAAGCACTCCTTAGAGTGTGTATTTTCCTTGGTTTTTAATAATCGCCGCCATATTGGTGTGTTACTATTTCCAACGTGATAACTAAAACCCACTAAAACCGAATTTTTGTAATGAATGTAGTTCATCAATAGTTCATTTGTGACGTCATGAATTTGAACGCTGGCTTGAAGCTGCTTTCATCGAATTACGTTTATAATGACGTCATGAGTTTCTCGCAAAAGCGTTTGAGTTCATGGAATCACGGAAGTAGTTCGTCGCATTTAAGTCGTCAGTTGTATAAACAAGCGACAAATAACATGCTTCGCCTACGTCACAAATGGTGATTTGGCGTGATTTGTTCCACACAAGCCTTATGAGGATAAGCTATTCTGTAGTAGTAGTGTGTATCGTCTTTGCAAAAAGCCTACTTCGATGCAGTGTTGCCAAACTTAATCTCAATATACTCACCTTTAACTTATTTCTGCTCAAGTTGATTGTCTTCAATACGGGCATCGTTTTAATGGCGTTAGCCTCGATAACTTCCAAATCATTTTCGGCCAAATCCAGCGTTGCCAAATGTTGCAACTTGTTAAACCCATTTTCCCTTAGTATTTTCAAATGGTTATTTGACAGTTTGAGCTGTCGCAAAGATGTCAAACTGCCTAATATTTCCGGATCTATTGAGTCAAGATTATTGTGGGTCAAATCTAGTACCCTGAGATTTTTGAGGCCCTTGAAAGTACCCGAAAGGCCTGCGAGTTTGTTGTAAGACAAATCAATCATTTGAAGGTCTTTGTTTTTATCCAGGGTGCCTGGTAAAAGCTCCGGTATATTATTCAAGGTCAAATTGAGACGTTTTAAATGCGGACAGTTTTGAAAACAATCGGGCATCAATAAGTCTATACGGTTATTGGCCAAATTTAAATCCCTAAGCTCTGATTGGTGCCTGAAGGCGTTGGAACCCAAATGCGTTATGGCGTTGTTGCTAAAATCTAACGTTTCCAATCTGGACAGGCCTTTAAAGTTGGCATCGTCGATTTTTTTTAGAAAATTATCGCTTATAAACAATCTTCTTAGTTGTGGCAACGTTGCAAAAGCCTCTTTAGGTAATGCTTCGATTTTGTTGCGGCTCAAGTCTAATAGTCTCAAAGCGGGCATGTCCAAATCCGGAGTAGGAGCCATCGGTAACACTGTAATATCGTTGTCACTTAAATGCAGATATTCTAGGCCTCTTGGCAACCCTGGAGCAAACTCTAACAAGTGGTTGCGCGAAATGTCCAATTCGTACAGGGCGAGCAGGTGACGGAAAGTAGCCGGATGCAACGTTGCCAAATTGTTGCCGGAAATGTTTACGTTTTCCAAAGAGGGGGTTAAAATGAAAGAGGCCGGATCGATGAATGTTAATTGGTTGCCGCTCAAGTCGATTTTGCGCAAAGATGGGAGATCTTGAAGGAAATTTGGTTCTAATCGTCTAAAATAAATTATATTGTTTAGCTATATGTAGGATGACGTCACATTTAGTAAGTGTAGGGGAATTTCAAATGTTTTGGGTTGGCAACAACATAAAAATTTTCAGATAACACGTGTTAATTCATCTCGTTATTTTTAGCTGTCAGTAGTCTTGATAGTTATTTATTATGACACTCTGGTAAATTATGAGAAAATAAAGAGGCATTGATAACATTGTCTGTCTTTGTTTTATGACGTCATCCTAAGGAGCCTATATACTATTATATATATACGTTTAACTGCTCTGTGCGCTCGTTCACGCTCTACTCTTTGAGCAAAATACCAAACGCAAAATGCTAGTAGGCCTTGTAATTTTTTGGCAGTTTTGACAGTCGGCCATTTTTGATTAACGTGTTTACATTTTTATCCAGTTTTTCTTCGAATTTTCCAATTTATCAGGGCATTTTGAGTCGGAAAAACCGATTTAAGATACAAGGCTTTGGATTTCCTACATTTTGTGCCAAAAATTTCCACTTTTCTAATGGGGTTAGTAAGAAAAACTTCAGTTTTATCAGGTAGGCTTTGGAATGTTAGTTTTTTTTTGGATTTTCGCTTTTCCAGGACCTGTTTAATCGGAAAAAGGTGGATTTAAGGTCAGCGCTTTAAGTTTACTTCATTTTTTTACCAAAAACTTCCATTTTTAGACCTAAATTGATATCATATACCTGAAATAATTTTGAGACAAATCCAGTCCTTTGAGTTCTGGCAAATTCCACAATGGCGGCTGTAAATTGTTAGACAAAGAATTGTTTTTCAATTGCAGCTCTCTTAGGGCTGGCATAGCGACAAAAGCTTCACGATCTATGAGATGGATGAGGTTGTGATCTAAATTGAAGTGTTCCAGGGTCGGGTGTCCTCGTAGCGAGCCGAACGGAATGGCTTCCAATTGGTTATGGCTCATATCCAGGAATACCAACCTAAAGAATTTCAGTTGAGCTGGCAACGTTGCAAATATTACAATTACCTTGGTAGAGCATCCAAGATGGCTCTCAAATCAGCCACGTGGCCGATTTCGTTACGCACCAGCCACAATTCCTCCAAACCACTTCCGGATTCTTGCAGGAAACTTTCCGGATGAACGCGCCTTAAAAAGTTATCGTTCAAATTGAGCGATTTCAAACGCGGCACTCGGTGAAACGCCCCATGGTGCAACTCTGTTATTCTATTGTTGGACAAGTGCAAGGATTTCAGTGCTGGCAAATCAACAAATGCAGCTTCTCCAATACGATCTAAAAACAAACAAAAAAAATAACATTTTGGCAACATCGCTTCAAGAATATTCTTGCCGATATAATTGCTATCTAGTCTCAGGATTGCAAGCTGAGGCAATTCTCTACTAGCCCTTCCAACCATTCCAGCATCTGAAATCCTATTACCCATAAGTATCAATTCTTGTAGTACTGGCAACCTTGTAATCGCTCTGTGGTGCATCCAGGTGACGCCACAATCGGATACATTCAACAAAGACAAACTAGGCAAGTCACGGAACAAGTTTGCTTCTAAACGCGTCAGCAATGGACATCTACCAATGTGGATTTTTTCCAAAGATGGATTGTCTTTGAAGTTTCTGGGCGACAATTCCAAAAGGGAATTTGACTCGATTTGCAGGTAACTGTAATAATCAAATGTCAATTATTATAAATTGACAAGTGACAGAGGTTGTTACCGCAACTTTGGCAAACCGGAAAAGAGCGGCAAGCGTTTCATCAATTCGGATTCAACAGTAATTGCTTGTAAAGCTATTTGTTGCCTTAATGAATCTTCTGGAATTGTTCGCAATTTGGGTTCCACAATGAACAGTTCCATTAGGTCTGTTTCTAGGCCACTCAGCCAATCATTGGACACCCGTTCCAGGCCATTGTGACGTAACATCAAACGGAGAATCTATTGACAGATAATGTCAATTGTCAAAAAAAATTATAATATACATACTTTCAAAGGGAAAAATGTCCTTCCAGGTAACGAAGGCAAATAATTGTTTTCCAAAATTACTTCATCGATAGGGGTTTTTATTAGAGTCGCAATGGTTTTGAGTCCCTCAAGGACACTGGGCAAGTCGCTGTGAGTGCACCTAAATTTAAAAAAAAAAAATTGCTCACAAACTTGGTTGTATTATCGTGACGTCATTTGAGGTGCAAATTTCCCAAATGACGTCATCCATTATTACCAGACAACCCTATACGTACCATATTTGAAATTCCTCCGCTCGTATCAAACATCTGCAAGGCAAAATCGCCTTGGGTACGGGACAACGTTTTTGGGCCATTCCATGGCCTACTAGTACCACCAAAATTACACTTAAAAATCGTTTGGCGACCATTTTCTCGATGTCATGGCATTATACTGGTCCGGCGAACCCTCATCCAATTGAGCCTACAAATTGGTAACGGTCGATTTGGTTTTATTGAGGAAATAGATTCGGGGTGTTGTTTGAATTGTAAAGAGAGAAAAAAATAATGGAATTATCATAGCGGTACCAACATCGTGTGTACGGTACGACTTGAAAACGGTCGCGTCACGCCTCTTTGTCATCCTTGATCCACTTTGGTATAAGTGCGACTTCTTTCGGCCCAATTTGCGTTTGTAGCTTAAATAATTGTTGAACTGTTTGTTGTAGGAAAAATTGATTTTTACATGAAATATTCACGGTCTCAAAAATGCGTCATTTTTGAAAAATTCGTATAAGATAAAATGAGAAAGATAATGCAAATTTTCACTATTATCGGCTCTTGATTGGTTAATCAAAAACAACGTTGCCATTTTGTGCAGCTTCTAACAACAATAACACTTCAAATATTTATATTTTGTAATTTATTGTCAATAAATACCTACTTATGACATTTGTCTTTTGTCAACTTGACATATTTTGACATTTTGTGATAAAAAAAGAGATGAAAAAGCAATCATGTGTTGAGAAAGCAGATATTTCAAATTTTGACTAATACAGACTCCTGATTGGCCAATCAAAAACAACGTTGCCATGTTGTGCAGCTTCCAATAGCATTAACATTTTGAATATTTATATCTTATAGTTTATTATCAATAAATATGACATTTGTTCTTTGCTGGCATCCATATTTTGGCATGAGAAAGAGATAAAATTACAATCATGTGCGAGATAAAATGAGATAAATATTTCAAATTTTGATTATTACAGGCTCTTGATTGGCCAATCAAAAACAACATTTCCATGTTGAGAAACTTTGGCTTTAACATTTCAAGTATCAATTTTAAGTTTTAAGTACCGGCGAAAAAGTTTATGACGTCATTAATTTGTTCCAGTGAATTTTTATTAGTTGAAAAAAAGAAAGTAAATGATGATGTAAGTACAAACTCTGGTAAATTGGTGAAACAAACTTTATATTATAAATTTATGCATGTTTGTATGTAGTTTGCTACTTTTAGTAAATATATTTAAATTTCGCGCCAATATGTGAATGTACATATGTTGGTTTCAATTGTCAAATGTCAATTGTCAAAAAAAAAGGAGGCAAGATGTTTTGGTTTTAGCTAGAAGAGGGCTTATCGATATTCATACTTATCGATACAATATTCTTTCAAAACCTCTACTTCTTTTTCGTATCAATATTAATATAAGGCTCAATTTTTGTCTATTCCCGGCTCTTGAATTTATCGAAATCGAGGAAACTCCAGAACCTGGAACCAATTTTTCTAAAATTTCTTCTTTTTTTCTTCAGCTCAATTTTTGTCTATTCTCGGTTCTTGTTCAAACTTCTTGGTGCATCATGAAAACTCGTTGGAACGTTTTTAGAAACTCGTTGGAAAATGATAAAAAATTCATTAGAAAGTTCAAAAAATTATTTAAAAAAATTCAACGAGTTTTTTTCAACATATTGAAACACTAGAAACTCATTGAAACATTATTAAAACTCGTTGAAAATTTTGAAAAACTCGTTGGAAAATGATAAAAATTCATTAGAAAGCTCAAAAAAATTTAAGTTTCAACATGTTGAAACACTGGAAACTCGTTGGAACTTTATAAAAACTCACTGAAACTTTTTAGAAACTCGTTGGAAAATGATACAAATTCATTAGAAAGTTAATTTTTTTTTTTTAAGTCTTTTTTAACATTTTGAAACACTAGAAACTTGTTAAAATATCTTGGAAAATCGTTAAATCTTTTTAGAAACTCGTTGAAAAATGATAAAAATTCATAGAAAGTTCAAAAAATTATTTCAAAAAATTCAACGAGTTTTTTTCAACATATTGAAACACTAGAAACTCATTGAAACATTATTAAAACTCGTTGAAAATTTTTAAAAACTCGTTGGAAAATGATAAAAATTCATTAGAAAGCTCAAAAAAAATTTAAGAAAAATTCAACGAATCTTATTTTCAACGTGTTGAAACACTGGAAACTCGTTGGAACTTTATAAAAACTCACTGAAACTTTTTAGAAACTCGTTGGAAAATGATACAAATTCATTAGAAAGTTAATTTTTTTTTTTTAAGTCTTTTTTAACATTTTGAAACACTAGAAACTTGTTAAAATATCTTGGAAAATCGTTAAATCTTTTTAGAAACTCGTTGAAAAATGATAAAAATTCATAGAAAGTTCAAAAAATTATTTCAAAAAATTCAACGAGTTTTTTTCAACATATTGAAACACTAGAAACTAATTGAAACATTATTAAAACTCGTTGAAAATTTTTAAAAACTCGTTGGAAAATGATAAAAATTCATTAGAAAGCTCAAAAAAAATTTAAGAAAAATTCAACGAATCTTATTTTCAACATGTTGAAACACTGGAAACTCGTTGGAACTTTATAAAAACTCACTGAAACTTTTTAGAAACTCGTTGAAAAATGATACAAATTCATTAGAAAGTTAATTTTTTTTTAAAGTCTTTTTTAACATTTTGAAACACTAGAAACTTGTTAAAATATCTTGGAAAATCGTTAAATCTTTTTAGAAACTCGTTGAAAAATGATAAAAATTCATACAAAGTTCAAAAAATTATTTAAAAAAATTCAACGAGTTTTTTTCAACATATTGAAACACTAGAAACTCATTGAAACATTATTAAAACTCGTTGAAAATTTTTAAAAACTCGTTGGAAAATGATAAAAATTCATTAGAAAGCTCAAAAAAATTTAAGAAAAATTCAACGAATCTTATTTTCAACATGTTGAAACACTGGAAACTCGTTGGAACTTTATAAAAACTCACTGAAACTTTTTAGAAACTCGTTGGAAAATGATACAAATTCATTAGAAAGTTAATTTTTTTTTTTAAGTCTTTTTTAACATTTTGAAACACTAGAAACTTGTTAAAATATCTTGGAAAATCGTTAAATCTTTTTAGAAACTCGTTGAAAAATGATAAAAATTCATTAGAAAGTTCAAAAAATTCAACGAGTTTTTTTCAACATGTTGAAACACTAGAAACTCGTTGAAATATCACAAAAAACCCATTAAAAATTCTTAAAAACTGGTTGGAAAATGATAAATATTTATTAGAAAGTTCAAAAAAAAAATTAAAAAACTCAATGGATCTTTGTCGACATGTTGAAACATTGGAAAGTCGTTGGAACATTATAAAAACTCGTTGAAACTTTTCAAAAACTCGTTGGAAAATGATGAAAACTCATTAGAAAGTTCAAAAAATTCAACGAATTTTTTTCAACATGTTGGAGCACTGGAAACTCAGTAGAGCATTATAAAAGCTTGTTGAAATTTTTTAGAAACCCATTAAAAAATAATAAAAATTCATTAAAAAGTTCAAAAATAATTTTATAAAATTCAACGAGTCTTTTTCAACAAGTTGAAACACTGGAAGCTCGTTGAAATATCATAAAAACTCGTTGAAACTTTTTAGAAACTTGTTGAAAAATGATTTTAAAAAAATCATTAGAAAGTTGAAAAAATAATTTAAAAATATTTAGGGAGTTTTTTTCAACATATTGAAACACTAGAAACTCGTTGAAACATCATAAAAACTTATTGGAAATTTTCAAAAACTCGTTGGAAAATTATAAAAATTCAATAGAAAGATCATCAATAAAATTTTTAAAAAATTCAACGAGTCTTTTTCAACATGTTGAAACACTGGAATCTCGTTGGAACATCATAAAAACTCGTTGAAACTTTTGAACATGTTAAAATACTGGAAACTCGTTGAAACTTTTCAGAAACTTGTTGGAAAATTACGAAAACTCATTAGAAAGTTCAAAAAATAATTTCAAAAAATTCAACGAGTTTTTTTCAACATATTGAAACACTAGAAACTCATTGAAACATTATTAAAACTCGTTGAAAATTTTTAAAAACTCGTTGGAAAATGATAAAAATTCATTAGAAAGCTTAAAAAAATTTAAGAAAAATTCAACGAATCTTATTTTCAACATGTTGAAACACTGGAAACTCGTTGGAACTTTATAAAAACTCACTGAAACTTTTTAGAAACTCGTTGGAAAATGATACAAATTCATTAGAAAGTTAATTTTTTTTTTTTAAGTCTTTTTTAACATTTTGAAACACTAGAAACTTGTTAAAATATCTTGGAAAATCGTTAAATCTTTTTAGAAACTCGTTGAAAAATGATAAAAATTCATTAGAAAGTACAAAAAATTATTTAAAAAAATTCAACGAGTTTTTTTCAACATATTGAAACACTAGAAACTCATTGAAACATTATTAAAACTCGTTGAAAATTTTTAAAAACTCGTTGGAAAATAATAAAAATTCATTAGAAAGCTCAAAAAAATTTAAGAAAAATTCAACGAATCTTATTTTCAACATGTTGAAACACTGGAAACTCGTTGGAACTTTATAAAAACTCACTGAAACTTTTTAGAAACTCGTTGGAAAATGATACAAATTCATTAGAAAGTTAATTTTTTTTTAAAGTCTTTTTTAACATTTTGAAACACTAGAAACTTGTTAAAATATCTTGGAAAATCGTTAAATCTTTTTAGAAACTCGTTGAAAAATGATAAAAATTCATTAGAAAGTTCAAAAAATTATTTAAAAAAATTCAACGAGTTTTTTTCAACATATTGAAACACTAGAAACTCATTGAAACATTATTAAAACTCGTTGAAAATTTTTAAAAACTCGTTGGAAAATGATAAAAATTCATTAGAAAGCTCAAAAAAAATTTAAGAAAAATTCAACGAATCTTATTTTCAACGTGTTGAAACACTGGAAACTCGTTGGAACTTTATAAAAACTCACTGAAACTTTTTAGAAACTCGTTGGAAAATGATACAAATTCATTAGAAAGTTAATTTTTTTTTTTTAAGTCTTTTTTAACATTTTGAAACACTAGAAACTTGTTAAAATATCTTGGAAAATCGTTAAATCTTTTTAGAAACTCGTTGAAAAATGATAAAAATTCATAGAAAGTTCAAAAAATTATTTCAAAAAATTGAACGAGTTTTTTTCAACATGTAGAAACTCGTTGAAATATCACAAAAAACCCATTAAAATTTCTTAAAAACTGGTTGGAAAAAGATACAAATTTATTAGAAAGTTCAAAAAAAAAATTAAAAAACTCAATGGATCTTTGTCGACATGTTTAAACATTGAAAAGTCGTTGGAACATTATAAAAACTCGTTGAAACTTTTTAAAAACTCGTTGCAAAATAATGAAAACTCATTAGAAAGTTCAAAAAATAATTTCAAAAAATTCAACGAATTTTTTTCAACATGTTGGAGCACTGGAAACTCAGTAGAGCATTATAAAAGCTTGTTGAAATTTTTTAGAAACCCATTAAAAAATAATAAAAATTCATTAAAAAGTTCAAAAATAATTTTATAAAATTCAACGAGTCTTTTTCAACATGTTGAAACACTGGAAGCTCGTTAAAATATCATAAAAACTCGTTGAAACTTTTAAGAAACTTGTTGAAAAATGATTAAAAAAATCATTAGAAAGTTCAAAAAATAATTTAAAAATATTTAGGGAGTTTTTTTCAACATATTTAGGGAGTTTTTTTCAACATATTGAAACACTAGAAACTCGTTGAAACATCATAAAAACTTGTTGGAAATTTTCAAAAACTCGGAAAATTATAAAAATTCAATAGAAAGATCATCAATAAAATTTTAAAAAAATTCAACGAGTCTTTTTCAACATGTTGAAACACTGGAATCTCGTTGGAACATCATAAAAACTCGTTGAAGCTTTTTAAAAACTCGTTGGAAAATGATAAAAATTCATTAGAAAG